TGATGATCAGTGATGATGAGCATCTTTTCATGTGCCTATTGGCCATCCATATATCATCTTTAGAGAAATGTCTGTTCATGTCTCGAGTCCATTTTTTGATCGGGTTGTTTGATTATTTGTTGTTGAGTTGAGTTCTTTATATATTATGGAGATTAACCCTTTGTCGGATATATGACTTGCAAATATTTTTTTCCCAGTTAGTGGGTTGTTTTTTGTTTCAATCCTGTTTTCCTTTGCCTTGAAGAAGCTCTTTAGTCTGGGGAAGTCCTATTTGTTAATTCTTTCTATTGTTTCCTTTGTCTGCGAATACACGGTGTCTGAAAAGATCCTTTTAATACTGATGTCAAAGAGTGTACTACCTATATTTTCTTCTAGAAACTTTATGGTTTCAGGTCTTACCTTTAGGTCTTTGATCCATTTTGAGTTTATTTTGTGAATGGTAAAAGAGAATGGCCAATATTCATTCTTTTACATGTGGCTTTCCAGTTTTCCCAGCACCATTTGTTGAAAAGACTTTCTTTTCTCCATTGTATGCCCTCAGCTCCTTTGTCGAAGATTAGCTGTCCAGAGATTTGTGGTTTTACTTCTGGGCTTTCAATTCTGTTCCATTGATCTGTGCACCTGTTTTTGTACCAGTACCATGTAGCTTTGTAGTATGTTTTGAAGTCAAGGATTGTGATGCCTCCTGTTTTGTTCTTTTTTCTCAGGATTCCTTTAGCAATTCAGGGTCTTTCGTGGCCTCATATGAATTTTAGGATTCTTTGTTCTATTTTTTTAAAGAATGTCATTGGGATTCTGATTGGGATTGTGTTGAATCTGTAGATTGCTTTAGGTAGTATGGACATTTTAACTATGTTTATTCTTCCAATCCATGTACATGGAATGTCTTTCCATCTCTTTATGTTGTCATCCATTTCTTTCATAAAAGCCTTGTAGTTTTCATTGTATAAGTCTTTTACTTCTTTAGTTAAATTCACCCCAAGGTATTTTATCCTTTTTGTTGTGATTGTGATTGGTATTGTGTTCTTGATTTCTTTTTCTGTTAGTTCATTAGTAGAGTATAGAAATGCTACTGATTTATGTAAGTTGATTTTATACCCTGCAACTTTGCTGTAGTTGTTAATTATTTCTAAAAGTTTTCCAATGGATTCTTTGGGGTTTTCTATATATAAGATCATGTCGTCTGCAAACAGCGAGAGTTTCACTTCTTCCGTCCCTATTTGGATTCCTTTTATTTCTTTTTCTTGACTAATTGATCCTGCCAAAACCTTTAGTACTATGTTGAATAAGAGTGGTGATAGAGGGCATCCTTGTCTTGCTCCTGTTTTCAGGGGGATGGCGCTCAGTTTTTGCCCATTGAGTATGATGTTGACTGTGGGTTTGTCATATGTGGCCTTTATTATGTTGAAGTAATTTCCTTCTATCCCCATCTTGTTCAGAGTTTTTATCATAAATCGTTGTTGGATCTTGTCAAATGCCTTCTCTGCATCTATTGAGATGATCAGGTGGTTTTTATTCCTCAATTTGTTGATTTGGTATATCACCTTGATTGATTTGCAGATGTTGAACCATGCCTGTGCCCCTGGTATGAATCCCACTTGATCACGATGTATGATCCTTTTGATGAATTGCCGTATTCGGGTTGCCCAAACTTTGTTGAGAATTTTTGCATCTATGTTCATCAGTGATATTGGACTATAGTTCTCCTTTTTTGTGTGTTCTTGTCAGGCTTTGGTATCAGCATGATGTTGGCCTTGAGGGACAATATTTTGATCATCAATGCTTTACATTGAAAGATTATAAATAAAAAGGGGGAAGATGACAAATAAATGACAAGCAATAGGATATATTGGAGTATCTGTGGAAGCCATTTGGTGTGAACCTAATTCAGCCTGAACTTATTTTTCCAAAAGAGCCTTATGTGGCCGTTGATCATGCATTGTATATCCACTTTAAGTATTTACTGTGTACCAAAGACAAGAATAACGCCCTTAAAGATAAGGATGTAACTTTCCTTCATTGGCATTTCCTTAAGGATAAGCATCTCTCCCTAGCCTAGGGATTGACTGCTGGCCTGCTGTGCTCACCTTGTGACCACCTGCCTTGAGACCACTGACCTGCTGTGTGCATGGAATTGCTGGGCCAGCAAAGCAATCTCACAACTGTTGTAAAAGGGACATTCTAATCCTATGAGATACATGCCCTTTGGTGGTATCTGACCACTCTGTACACCACCACTTCTTTGGAGTGCTCCATTCCTTTGTGGAAGAACTTCCTTGGCCTATATGGTCCTCAGAATTGGCTCATAGTAAACTCACCCCAATTTTTACTTATAGATTGGTTATGGATTATTCATATCAACAGTATCATAATGTTTACTTATTATACAGAACATACATACATTGATTCATTCAACAAATATTTCACAAGAGCCCACTATGGCTAAGGCCCTGTGCCAGGCTCTGGAACATTTCTCAAGAAGTGGAACAGTCACAGAATCTGGACTTTGGTGTTAGGAGGAACCTTAAGGCTACTGTAGTCTAAATTCTGCATTTCTTGATGAGTAGATGGCTCAGAGAAGTACAGTGACCTGGCTGGCCATGGAGCTCAGCCGTGGCCAGGCCAGGGCTGTCACTGCAGGTCAGCTCTGGGTGCATCCAGATGTGCCACAGGCTCTTCCAGAAAAGGCTTGTGGGTAAAGTTGTTCACAGATACTATGAAGTGAAAAAAATACTTGAGGTATAATAAGTATATTTAAACATATATATTTATATTTATATATCTGACTGTGGAAAGGTCTGGAAGAATAAACACTAGGAAGGTAGCAATGATTACCTCTGGATCTTGGGTTATGTTGATCTGTATTTCATTTTTTTTCTCCCCAAATCCCCCTAGAACATAGTTGTATATTTTTTTTAGCTGTGGGTCCTTCTTGTTGCGGCATGTGGGACATCACCTCAACATGGCGTGATGAGTGGTGCCGGGTCCTCGCCCAGGATCCGAAGCTGCGAAACCCTGGGCTGCCGCAGCAGAGCACGCAAACTTAACCACTCGGCCATGGGGCCAGCTCCCATCTATATTTCTTAATTTTTCCACACAGTGGGTTATTTGTATAATGAATGATAGAAATAAAGAGTGGTTCGCTCCCCCACCCTTGAGCCTTCTCTTCATGGCGTCCTGTGTCACTAAGGATAAGCCAGGCTGTGTGGTGGTAGCTGCACAGGTGTATTTCTCACTCATGGTACCTTCCAGATGGATCAATGGGAGACCCTGCTCCATAGTCACCTGAGGGTGCAGGCTGGTGGAGGTTCCACTTCCTTATGGCATCATCTGGAAGGAGCGGCTTCCTCTTTGCCAGTCACCCTCCAGGAAAAGAGAGAATGGAGACTCGCCCTTGGACTCTCCACTGCCCTTGCCCCTAGGCATCATGGGCGCTTCTGCTCAGATTTCATTGGCCAGAACCAGTCACGTGGCCCCACTTAACTTCAGGGGAGCTGGGAGGTCTTGTCTTCTGTTTGCTCTAGAGGGAAGGGAGAAGGGGATCTTGGTGCATAGTGGTGACTCCCCCACGTTTGCTGTTCCCCACTGAGTTACCATAAGTGCAACACCCTACAGCTGGCTGGGGCTCAGTGCAAGTGAGGTGGGACCTTGATGCCTAACTGACAAACAGTAGGAAAATATTAGCCGACCATGCATCTAAAGCAGCCTAGTGATATTCATGTTTAGACAGATGCCTCTTAAAGTTCACATTGTGAAGTGTGTGAGCCTCTGGCTAAGTGTCAATTTAGCAAAGTTCAGTTTGCTGTTGGGGTTTTAATAATAAAGATGGCACCCGGCCTATTCAGTAAGACACTCTGGCTCTCTAAGGGTCCTCTTCAAACTCTCCAGGACCCACAGGCACAGCAGTCAATAGGGTGGAGAACCACAGTCCCGTAAGCTAGTTCTTTCACAGTAACAACCAACCATTCCAAGATGCAGCTCCTGAGTGCACAGCCTGTGTTCTCCTGGGGGAAATTTCTCCTCTATTTCATGGAGCATCTCTTTCTTGGTGCCATATGTCACATTCATCCCAGGGCCTCCCTAGTGAAAAGGGCCGATGCTTTCATGTAATCCATGAAATCAGGCACAAGCAGGAGGGAACCTGCAGACAGACATGAAACCGAGGTCCTGGAAGGAGCAGCCGGGAGACTGCACACACTGCCCCACGCTCATAGTCTGCCCAGAACCGGGACTGAGTGCCTTCAGTTCACACTTCTATGGGATTAATTGAACTCTCGGTTTCTTACTTCTTCAAAGAAGCTTTGTGAAGCCTTGTGGATAGATTGAGAATATTTACTTGCAAAGCTGTCCTTCAATTTATCTCAGTCAGCATTATCATGGCAGACAGAATTGTACAGAAGTATGGTATTTGGCAGTTTTCTATTTTCATTAGTGTCTCACCTTAAAGACTCATGAATATTATATTGTTCAGATCCTGTGTTTTCATGGATGTGTTAGTGTTGCACTGATTCTGTTCTTAAATTAATTTTGACTTGTAAGAATCATGGGCTTCTGAGGTATCTTTCATGGCCCAGTCAGTCTGGTTCTGGGTTATTGGAATAGATGCCACAGACCCACTTCTTACATGTGCAGGTTCTATACAGCATTTAACCCTGTTCATAGATTTCATTACAGTGACCTTGCAGAAGTGTGATGAAGACTTGTGAATACTCGGATTACTATAATATTTCCATTTTCTTTTTAGATTTCATGGGCTGACAAAGAAAGCACATTGAAAAGATCAGAGAAGATAATCTGATTTTCCGTGATGAAATCCATGTTTGCAGTGCTCACTGTTTGCTTGCACCTTCTAATAATGCCTCTGTTTTAGCTAAAGTAGCCATAGTCATAACCCCTCTTAATGAGATAAACTGAGTCATTGTGGTTACAAAGACACATTCCATGAAGGGCATGGGTGATCAATTTCTAAGGTGGAAAGAAACACTTCATCAATACAGTCATTTCAGACCACTGAGTTTATTTAATTGAGGGAAAGTTTCTAAACCAAAGTCTTCCACTTGGCTATCAAATTTCTCTTGTTTTCAAAAAATTCCTCTCTCTCTCAAGTCCACATCAGGTAAGGAGAAGGAAAAAGAATTGGCCTATGCTGTATCAGACATCCAAAAGTTCACAGCTTGTGCTTACATTGTCGTAGAGGTGTGGTCCTTACCAAAGGGAACTTGCATTAGTCAGTGAGTGGGGGCTTAACTGCTCTAACCCAGGATTCAACAAACTTCTTCTGGAAACTTCAAGGCTCAATTTCAGGTGTCATCTCTATCCTCTGTTTTCCCATCTCATCCTCGTGCCCTCTTATATCCACTACACTCCACTCAGAATGTTTTTTCCCAAAACAGAAATTGGAACATGTCTCTCTTTCCAAATGAAGACCTTCGGTGGCTCCCTCTTCTTGTGGATGGAGCCCCAATTCCCCAGCATGGCTGACCTGTGGGTCCTGCAATGACAGAAGTCCACAGGGGGCAGATGGTGGCTGATGACCCCAAGGCAAGGTAGTCCAGCCAAATCGTGAGACGAGCAGGACTCCTAGACCTCAGGCCACCTGGGACCAGAGACTCAAGGAAGCCCTGCCTCCCTTCTCCAGGCTCTGCACAGCAGCCTCTTTCTCTGTGGGTGGAGTGGCGCCCTCACGTGGCAGGGAGCTCACAGCCAGAAGAGTCCTCCTCTGGAGCAGCCTGACCTTCCTTCTTAATCCTCCCCTGAAAACTCCCCAGGAAGGACTGGGTCTGAGTCCACCCCTGACCAGTCACCGTGACCAGAAAGGTGGAGTCCTGTGTCAGGCTGGGGGCTCCTGAGGGATCAGGTGGCAGGAGGAAGGGGTCCAGCATGGGGTGGTGTCCCAAGCATCAGAAAGGGGTGCGGGCAAGCACCGTGACCCACTAAGGGGCTCACAAGGTAGCTGAGCTGCCTTCCTGGCCAGTGTTTGAAATTAAAAGGCTAAAAATGACTTTGTTGTCTGACCATTGAAGTACTCGATAAGGAAAACACGGATATTAAACTTATAAAGGCAGTTAAAAATATTGGAAGGTGTTTCTCTTTACCAAGTTTTCAACTGAAAGCAAATGTTAATGAAAGACCCATTGAAAGTGATTTCTGGCTGTACACTATCAATGAATAATCAAAAAATATAATTAAAAAACAATTCCATATGCAATAACATCAAGAAGAATGAAATACTTAGAAATACATTTAACTTAAAAAGTCCACGACTTGTACACTGAATACTGTAAAACATTATTGAAAGAATGTTTAAAAGACCTAAATACACAGAGAGACATCCTATGTTTACGGATCAGAAGACTCAACGTTGTTAAGATGGCAACATTCCTCCAAACTAAGCAACAGGTTCAGTGCAATCTCTATCACAATCCCATTGGCAGTTTTTACAGAAATTGATAAACTGACCCCAAAATCCATAAGGAAATGTAAGGACTCAGAATAGCCAAAACCATTTTGGAAAAGAAAAACAAAGTTGAGGGACTCAGGGCCTGAGGTCTACTTAATACAGAGTACAGTAATCAACACAGCGTGGGACCTGCAAAAGGTTAGACACATAGATCAAAGGAGTGGAAATGAAAATCCAGAATTAAATCCTCACATTTACGGTAAATTGATTTTCAACGAGGGTGTTGAGACAATTTAATGGGGAAAGAATCATCTTTTTGACCAAAGGTGCTGGGTATCCACATGCAAAAGAATGAGGTTGAACTCTGCTTCACATCAGAGACAAAAATTAATTCAAAATGGATCAAAGACCCAAGTGTAAGAGCTAAGACTACTAAAGCCTTATAAGAAAACACAGGAGTAAATGTTTGTGACCTTGGATTAGGTGGTGGTTCGTAGATATGACACCAAAAGCAAAGGAAAACAGAGAAAAAATAAACTGGACTTGACAAAAATTAAAAAGGTTTATGCTTCAAAGGACACTATTAAAAGAGTGAAATGACAACTCACAGATGAGAGAAAACATTTGCTAATCATATATCTGATAAGGGACTTGTATCAGAATATGTAAAGAACTCTGACAGCTCAATAATAAAAACACAGAATCCCATTAAAAAGTAGAGAATATATTTTACTGAAAAACAATATAGACAAGTGGCCAATGAGCACATTAATTGTTTGACTTCATTCACTGCTAGGAAAATGCAAATTAAACCCATACACCTATCAGAACAGCTCAAATTTAAAATAATGACAACACCAAAAGCTGGCAAGGATGCAAAAAACCTGGATGACTTGCACATCACTGATGGGAACGTATGTAAAATCTATGAAACTAAACGTGAAACTACCACACGATCCAGTAATCACACGCCTGGGCACTTACCCCAGAGAAACGAAAACTTACATTCACACGACACCTGTACTCACACGCTCACAGCAGCTCTATTTGTAACAGCCCCAAACCAGAAACAAGCCAGGTGTCCTTGCACAGAAGGATGCTTAAACAACCTTGGTCCATCCACACCATGGAACACTACTCAGTAATTAAGAGGAACACACTACTGAGATACACAACAACCTGGAGAAATCTCCAGAGAATTATGCTGAGTTGAAAAAAAACAATCCCCAAATGTTGCACACTGTATGACTCCATGGAAATAATATCCTTAAAATGACAAAATGCTAGAAATGGAGAGGAGATTGGGGGGCCAGGGGATAAAGAGAGGGTGGGGCAGGAAGGACGTGAGTGTGATTATAAAGGGCTCAGGAGGGGTCCTTGTGGGGATGGATGTATTCTGTGTCTTGACTGTGGTGGTGGGTACACAAATCTACAATGTAATAAAATTGTATAGAACTCAATACACAGGCATACCTACACAACAAGTACAAGTAACACTGGGACCATCTGAACAGATCCATGGACTGTGTCCATGTTCGTACCCTGGTTGTGATGGTGCACTGTGGTTTGCAAGATGTTATTATTGAGGGAAACAGGGCAAAGGACATATGGGATTTCTCTGTATCATTTCCTATAACTGTATGGGACTCTACAATGATTTAAAATTAGAACTTGGGGTTTTTTTTAAGTTCTTTGGATGAGGAGGCAGGAGACCTGGGATCTGGCCGTGGCTGTTCCATCAAGTCACTGTGTGATCTGGGCATGTCACTTCTCCCTCTGCTTCCATTTCACTTTTGTTTCCTTATCTGGAAAATAAAGGTTCAAATGTCCCAAGGTGTCCTTCAGTGTGGACAGTCTGGAGTCACGGCTGTGGGGTTGGTGTGGCCTGAGGCCACAGTGAGAGAGTCCTCAGGTGTACAGAACAGACAGGCCTCCAGGGGCTGCCTTGCCCCCTGGGGTGGGGGGGAGGGTCTCAGGGCCAGGCATGGCACAGGATGTTAGGTACCAGAGACCAGGAGTCCTGGCCTGAGGGGTCACTTGCACTGCAGGCCCAGGTCAGATGCTCCACATCATGACCACACACCTGCCCCCTGTGGGAGGCAGAGCACCTGGCCAGAGGGGGAGCAGCCAGGAGCTGCAGAGTGGAGAGTGAGGAGGAGGATGCTTGGCCCACACAGCTGCCCAGGCTGACGTGGGGACAGTGCTCGGCTGACTGAATCAGCCAGAGTCCAGTTCAGAAAACAGCAGCCACAGCAGCCATGTTAGGTATCTCACAGGAGGGGTTTAATGCAGGGAACTGGTTACAAAAGGTGTGAAAGGGCCGAAGGAGTCAAAAGGGGAACGAGAGGGAACCCAGAGATGAGTAACTGCAGGAAGTGGGGACAGCCCTGAGGGCCAGAGGGACACAAGAGGGAGGTGGTGACACCACAGCCCAGGGGGACACTGCTGCTGATGCTGTTGCAGTGGGACCACGGCCACAGGAGCCACTGGAGCCCATGGCTGCTGCAGCCAGTGCCACCCCCAGCAGCAGAGGGAGAGAACACGGGCTTCTCACCTCCACCCTCCTTCCGCTGTCCTGCCAGAGCCCACCTCAGCCAGCGACAGAACCCTGCAGCCAGGAGCCTGGGAGATGACGCAGAGCAGAGGAAGGAGGGGAGGGGCTGTCTGAGAAGTTTTCCTTCCATATGTGTGTGCACAGACACTGCACACCAACAACAGCTGTTTACTTCGCTCTTGATGTATATTTTTTTGATACTCATATCCTTATCTTATTTGACTCCCAGGAGTCATTGGTTTTCTCAGAAAAAAATTCTCATTATAGGAATAATAAACTGTAGATATTTAAAAAATATTTTAGAAAATTTAAACATACAAAAATTGAAAATAAAAATCACTTGGAACGCTCCTCCCCAGGGATGGCCAATGTTAATCTTTTGGTGCTGGTGAGCCCTTCCTGGCTGTAGTTGAGGATGTGACAGGGTGACAATGGGGTCCTTACCCATTTTGATGATAGAGGGGAATGGAGGGTGCCCCCAAGCCAAATAAAGGGGCAGCAAGAGAGTTACCAGAAAACTTGTCTGGGTCCCCAGGAGTGTGGGGAGGTGGGCTCCAGGGCCCAGCTCCAGATTTATGCCTGGGAAATCTCAGAGCAGGACAGGTGGCTGGAGGGCCCTCTCCTGCAGAGGGAGGAGACAGTGATGGAGGGCACGCACTGCCTTCCCTGGGCAGCAGGGGCAGCCCCAGGCATGAGCATCCCCAAGGAGCCTGGGAGGTCTGGAGAGACAGGTGACCTCCCCCAGGGGAATCCAGCCTGGGGTGGACAGCCAGCAGCACAGAGCTGAGCTGCAAACAAATGGGGAGCCCCATGAAACACCCACAGGTGGAGTCCCCAGCACAAAAGCCCCCAGTGAGGGAAGGGCTGCCCAGGACATGACCCAGGCAGAGAGGACTGCAGGGAGACCTGGCGCCCAGGCTTCTGTCCTTGTCCTCTAACTGCCTCTGCCCCCTGGTCCTGGCAGAGGAAGAGGGTGCTGGGGGCACAAAGAGCAGCTCTCGAGTGGAAGAAAAGGTGAAAAAGGTGAGGGAGAGAGAAAGCCCCCAGCTGCCCCTTCCACTGCAGGGGTCTGAGCCCAAGTCCCCCTGGGCTGGGAGGGGGACGTGCAAATGGGATAAAACAACACAGCTTTGGTTCCAGACCTGACTGGATATTTTAACACCTGAAAACAAACCCATCCCTGACATCAGAGCCAGACACAGCTACTGAGCACTTGGAATGTGGCCAATCGGAACAGAGAAGTGCTGTGAAGTGTGAAATGCACACAGCATTTCAAAGACTTAGTATGGAAAAAGTAAGAATGTAAAATTCTCCATAACTTTTATATTAATTATATGCTTACATGATGATGTTTTATACATATTGGGCTAAATAAAATACATTATTAAAATTAATTCTACCTTTCCATTCTACTTTTTCTCCTGTGGATCCCAGAATGTTGACACTCAGGTCTGCACAGCTGGCTCCAGCTCTCTCTGTAGGACAGGGATGCTGGGAGCAGATAAGCTGAGACCTCACTCAGGAGGGGGTGGGAGGGACTCTGCTTGGCATTTGAAGAGGCAGGAGGGGGAAGGAGGAAAGTTGCTTCCACTTTTCCTACCAGCCCGGCCCCTCCAACAGCCTGTGATGTTCAGGGGGACTTGTGTAAGCAATCGGAAAGCAGCTGCATTTGAATTTCCCTCTGTCCCTTTAACTCACTCTTGGGGCTGGTTCTTACCCTGGATGCAGAGGAGGGCCAGCTGTCAGGTGTTCCTAGGTCATGGAGACTGGATCCTGTGTTCAGTCCCGTCTCCCCCGCTCCCTCCCAGCCCCACGGCTCAGCCTGCTGCAGCCCAGGAGGGGGCATGGCAGGCTCCTCCACTCTTCTTCAGGTCCCTTCTTGCCAGTGCAGTTTCTGACCCTCCCAGGGTGAGCCAGGAAAGAGGAAGGAACAGCAGGGGAAGGTTTTTCCAGATGGTCCTGTGGTGTGAGGGGCACTGGCAGAGGTGGGAAGATGCCTCTTCCTCAGACAGGTGTTTCCATGACTTCTGAGGACATTCCCCTCCCCTCCCCCAGGTGCTCTGCTGTCCCCTTTGGCCTGCAGACCCTGAAGGAGGGAGGATGTGGCTCTGTCCACCTGGGCTGCTTACCAAGGAGGCCCTGGGCAGCCAGCCTCGCCTCCAGCCCCTCAGTGCTGTCCTCCTCCCACAGGAGCCAAAAGCACCACAGGCCCCCGTCCTGTCTGGCCCCCGTCTGGTCTGTGGCAAACCTTGCTGGCATCCTTCGCCATGACCCACTTGGGCTCCAGCCAGCCTGTCACTCACTCTGATTTTTCAGGCTTGACTCTGAGACCAGCCCCTGGGTCCCTCAAACTGCGGGGTCACAGGTTAAACTCTTCCTGCAGCTCCTCACAGCCCCGACTGGAGACAAGCAGGTGGGCCCCTCCCCCTCCCCTTGGGGATCAGCCCCTGGCTCCCAAAAGCCCTTCCTCATTTCTCAGCCTTTTATCTCATGAGAGGGAGCTGTGAGGAGTCTTGTAAGGGTTTTCATCCCCTCAGTGGAAATTCGGCAGGTGGTTTTCCCAGGATGAAACCACAGTTGCACAGCTGTCCAGGGACGAGGTTATTGACAGGAAGGGGTGACAATGCTGAGAAGAGCCAGGGCGCAGTGGGCCTGGGGAGCCCACGAGAGTCTCCCCTCTCAGTCCAGCAAAAGCTCCCTAAATGTGTCCGAAGCGGCCGCAGGGCCACCTCCAGGCCCTCTCTGGGGTTTATCCACCTGCAAATGTGCATTCAGACCATGACTTCACGGCGCGGTGCTCACTCACTTAAAGATGGTCCCGCTCTGAGCGAGCTCTCTGGTCTGTGTTCCACATCTTCCTCCTGCACAGCTGCGCACCTGTGCCCTCCATGTCCTGCGATGGTGGAGTCAGAACCCAGCTTCTCAGCTCTGGTGGGTCACACTTGGCCCCGCCCCCTGCTCTACCCCAGGGGTCAAGCCTCTACTGTGAAGTGTGGGTGCCTCCACTGACGTTTCCATGGGAACGCCTGCTGCGCACGTGGGAAGGTAAACGGGCTGACACTGCACATGCCCTTCCGAGTAGCGGATTGGAACGTCTTTCGGTGTTCCTGTAGGTTCACACTGCAGTTTCCACGGGGCAGATTCCAGAATCCCTGCGAGGCAGGGGCGATGAAACCCCTCCAGCTTGGCTTCAGGCCTCCGTTTCTGTGTCCGCCGCCTGGAAAGCAGTGTGGCACCTGAAAGGGAACCAGCCTCCCCTCCAGGGCAGGGAGGAGCCTTAGCTGCCACACTCCTCCCACAGGCCGGGCCTGACCCAGGGCTGCAGGCCCCTCAGGCATGCTGGTCACCTCCACCAGCGCCATTGCTCCAGCCTTCCCTCTGCTCTGCTGTCCTGGCTCTGCCCCGTCTGTGTAACCAGGGCCCAGGAAGGTTTAGAATGAAGTACAGAATTACCTGAGAATTAAACCTGTGATAATAAGTTTGCATGTAAATTTGTACATATCTCACATCCTAGGTGTCTTGTCAAGCTGAAGAGAATTTGGCCTCATAGAGCAAAAGTTTGATTATTTTAAAATGTGTCGTCAATTGAGTTTTGTGATTTTAAGTTAAAATCTTTAAAATTTTTCAACAGTATAGAATACTTGGAAAACTTAAAACACATAGTTCTGAATTTAATTTATTAGATTTTTGAGTTATTTAAATATTCAGGTAGATTAGTATAAATCAAATAATTGGGATACTTAAAGGGAAAAGAGAAACTACTACATTTATATTTGCAATTTTAAAGACTTAAGGGAATTTAGTGATCAAGAAATAAAGGCATCTTTACTTTGATTGCTAAATATGTTAGATAAAATATGGAAAATTTAAAAATGTGTTGGCTGAGATTAATGCTTCAGTAACACTAGGTGTTGAGTTTGTGAGTCTGGTGGGTTCGGTGTTAAACTGTAAAGTGGAGGAAGCTCTGCCTGACAGGTCCTGCCCCAACCCCTCCCTCAGGGACGACGACAGGGGCCATGGAGGAGGCCTTCTGGGGGGCTGGAGAGGGACCACAGTGACCCCAAAGCCAAAAGCCCTGTGGACAGAGGGATGGACTAAAAACAATGAAAAGAAGAAGGGGCCGTGGTCATAACAGAGGAAATCTAGTCCACGTAAGACCTGATTTCTCCCTAGGAGCCACAGTTTGTATTATTGCTCTAAATTTGCATTATCTAGCCAGTAATTTCAAAATCCATCATGTATCCTATTATTTAATCAATCTGCTCTTCAGTTGTTTGTAAGATTTAGAGGGCTAGACCAGGAGCAGGGGAGGATTTGCTGTGAAGCTGTGAAGCCTCAGCTTCCAGGCCCTTCCATGGTCCTGGGAGGGGCCCCTAGTATTGGGCTCAAGTAGTTATGTTTTATGTAAATTTTGCAAACTGTGAGTGTATAAATAACAATTCTAAATTCGAATTATTGAGACCCAGAGGCACGTTCGCTGGGTTGCGGCAGAATCCAGCACTGTTGTTAAGACCATGGACTCTGGAACCCAGTAGAACCAGGTGCAAATCCCAACTTTCCAGCTGTGTGACTTCAGGCGAGTGACTCCATCTTTCTGTGCCCCTGTTTCCTGTCCTTATAGTGGGCGTTCCAGCAGACTTCCTGATAGAGCTGGTGTGGGCTCATCTCCATCAGCTTCAGTGCAGTGGCTGCTGCCCAGGACACTTGGTGGCTCTTAGTGGATGTGGTGGGTTTACAGCTGGAATAAAGGGTGAAGACTCTCGAGGAGACTGCTGGGAGTAAAATGGCGGGGTGAGCTGACCCAGGATTCTCTCCCCTCCAAAATACAACAAAAGATTGGAAGAACTGAATTTCAGAGAATAAACATAATGCCAGCTCGTTAGAGACCTACAATACCAAGAAGGCGGAGATCATAACCTTGCTTACACCCTCGGAGGTGCTGGAACGGTAGGAGAGAACATCGCTCCCTCCCCTAGAGTCTGCGATCGCTGCGGCTCGGGTCGGGAAGGAGCAGGGGAGGGGCCGCGCGACCGGGGGATCATCCAGGACTCCTGCCGCTGATTCAGTGGAGACCCACTGACGGGGGGAAAGCTTCCGTCCGCGGGGACCCTATAAATCAAGGGCCTTGGGAGACCAGAGAACAGAACTGATCTGAACCCAGACTGGCACGTGTAACAGCCCCTCCCCCCTAACAAAGCCAGTGGGCGCAGCCATCTTGGCCCAAGGCGGAGAGCTAACATGCCACTCTCGACCCCCATCTAGTGGCGACAGGCTGTAACTGCAACTGAATTCTACCACCATGAGAAAAAACCGCCCCTCTACCATCCAGCAATTTATAAAAGCCCCAGACCAGAAGGAAAACAATAAAAACACAGAATTAAGTCCTGAGGACTTGGAATTAGGTAAACTAAGTGATAATGAATTCAGAGCAGCTATAATCAAAAAACTCAATGAGGTAGACAGAAAGATAGAGAAACAAGCCGAGTTCTGGAGTTACTTCACAAAAGAGATTGAAATCATAAAGAAGAATCAAACAGAATTACTTGAGATGAAAAACACAATGGACCAGATAAAACAGAATATGGATTCCCTGAATGCCCGTGTAGAAAACCTAGAGGAGCAAATCAGCATAATCGAGGACAGACAGGCTGAATGGCGCCAGACAGAGGAAGAAAGAGAACTAAGAATTAAAAAAAATGAGGAAAATCTCCGAGAGATAATGGATTCAATGAGGAGTAAGAACATAAGGATCATAGGAATTCCTGAGAATATGGAAAAGGAAAATGGAGCAGAAAGTGTGTTTAACGAAATTATTGAAGAGAACTTCCCAAATCTAGGGATCAACGGAGAAATGTGTGTAGAGGAGGGTTTTAGATCTCCTAGATTTGTCAATGTAAAAAGACCCACCGCACAGCACATAATAGTAAAGTTGGCAAATAGGAATGATAAGGAAAGAATACTCAGGGAAGTAAGAAAAAAAAAGAGAATAACCTATAAAGGAGCCCCTATCAGACTGTCAGCGGATTTCTCTACAGAAACCCTACAAGCTAGGAGAGAATGGAGTGATATATTCAAAGCTTTAAAGGATAAAAACCTTCAGCCAAGAATACTCTATCCAGCAAGAATTTCCTTCAGATATGAGGGAGAAATTAAATCTTTTCCAGACAAACAAAAGTTAAGGGAATTTGTAACTAACAGCCCTCCATTACAAGAAATCCTCAAGAAGGCTCTCATACTTGAAAAAAGAAAAAAGGGAGAAAGGGGACACAAGCCACAGACTAGGGAGACCGATGGATAGAACCAGAACAGGATAGCAAATATTCAACTATAGCATTAGGGTAAAAGTAAGGAAACTACCAAAACAAGGATGATCTTAGCACTCTAACTACAAATTAATAAGACGAGTTGGAATAAAAAATGAAAATAATTATTTAGGAGGGGAAGAGCAAAGGGTCTAAATCAGTATTGGTCGAGTAAGTAAGAGACCACCAGAGAATAGACTATATTATACACGAGATTCTAAATACAAACTTCAAGGTAGACACTAAAATAAAGTACAGAACAGAGTCACAAATCATAGATAAGGAAAAATCTAAGAAACCCAGCATAAGAAATTGCAGTATTAAATGGGTAGTCTAAAGCACACAGGAAAAGAAACACAGGAAAACAAGATAATGAGCGACAGATTGACAGCATTAAGTCCACATGCATCAATAATCACTCTCAATGTGAACGGATTGAACTCTCCAATAAAAAGACACAGAGTGGCAAAATGGATTAAAGAACAAGATCCAACAATTTGTTGCCTCCAGGAAACACACCTCAGCCCCAAGGACAAACACAGACTCAGGGTGAAGGGGTGGAGGACAATACTTCAAGCAAATAGCAAGGAAAAAAAGGCAGGTGTTGCAATTCTCATATCAGACCAAGTGGATTTCAAAATAAGACAGGTAAAGAGAGACACAGAGGGACAATATATAATGATCAAAGGGACCCTTCATCAAGAAGGGTGGAGACTCTCCCCTTGTGTGTGAGTCAGCTCAGGCTGCTGTAACAACACCATCGATTGGGGGCTTCACAGCAGACATTCATTTCTCACAGTTCTGGAGGCTGGGATGTCCAGGATCACGGTGCCCGCAGATTCTCTCCTTGGTGAGTGCTCTCTCCCTGGGTTGCAGATGGCTGCCTTGTCCCTCTGTCCTTACATGGTGGAGAGAGGGAGCTCTGGTCTCTCTTTTCTTCTCCTAAGAACACTAATCTCATCCTGGGGCCCCACTCTCATGACCTCATCTAAACCTAATCACCTCCCAAGGCCCCCCTCCAGCTACCAGCACAGTGGGGTGAGAGCTTCCCCATGTGAATCTGGGGGAACACAGTTCAGCCCATAGCACCTTGGCAGCTGCAGGCTCCACGGAGAATGAGTGTGGGGGGAGGGTACATGGCAGGGGGAGAATCATGCTAAGAAAAGTCTGGAAGAACAGAAAGTGGGAGCAGGAGCTTGCAGCAGGTATAAGGTTTGGGGGTGGGGGGAAGGGGCCGTCCTGAGCCAGGACGGGGGGCGGCCCAGGGGTGGGAATGCAGGCTGGGTGGATGCACCAAGGGGGGAGAGGTGGAGAGGATTCTGGGTGATAACTAGTGCCTGAGGCTCTCCTTTGTTAGCCACTAAGATGGGATGAGCACAGCACAGGAAAGACTCAGTGAGTCCCTAAGGACACCACAGGGAGGGACCACGAGTGCACCTGTTTCACAAGGAGGAGGCTGAGGCTTGGGGAGTGAAGTGAGTTGCCTCAGCTTCCAGGTGACAGAAGTGGACTTGAACTCATGCTCTGTGACCCAGCGCCCAGCAGGCCTCACAGCACCCACCAAGGGCCCGTTCCTTAGACCCCCTCTGTCCTCACCCCACAGCCACCACACCCT